AAATGTGACTCTTTGAATGTTGCATGTAGTTATGAATATAAAGTCTGAGAATGAATTTGTAGACAAGCGTCCTCGTCCCTGAATACCTTGCTTCAGAAAGTTTTGGATCATCTCTTCGACGACAGAAAATGAAAAACAAATATTAACGAATCATAAACATTTACACCGCTCTCTTTTATTATCCCAACAAAGTGGATTAGTATAAAAAGCATCATCGCTCAAATGAGTTGGTGGATAACTTTAGATAATTTGCCTCAAATGATAGCGATGGGCACAGCATATGACAAATCCTAAACCGAAATGTAAGTAGTGAGATTAGAAATTGATAGAAAAGTGCTATTTCTTCCACTACAGAGAAGAATTAAAGTAAGAAAACTGCATAGATTTGCTTTATGACAAGAAGATTAAATTAGCATCTGAGTACAACACCTACAACTACAGCTGACTTCACATTAGACAGCGTGAATTACCAACGCAAGTGAATGTTATAAATATCTGAAATTGAATGACTGACAGATGAAATATGAAACAGTTTATAGGTAGGTCATCAGTCAGGCAGGAATGAACAATGAGATGAAGTACACGATTTTGTCCTTATACATGTCTATGATAAGGTGGTTTTCGATTAATTCCTCTAAGGATCTCGGATCATATAGTTGTGCAATGCTCAGGAATTATTCATCTCAAACATGCTGAGCATTTATATAAGTATAACACGCATCTAATGTCAACTTTTCACTCGGTGCCCAATATGCTGAAACTATCTGGTCAAATCTTAACCGTAACTCACATAAATTATGAAACAGTTTGCCTACAAGCGCCTCGTTCGACCTCATAACCAACTATTTGAAGACTAGACGGTACAATAAAATGCTCACAGGATGTTGGTAAGACGTCTGTAACTGAAAAATCTTCAACTTCCTCAACAATGCCAACTAATATCTGTGTATAACAGAAAAGTACATTAGTTCAGCGTGCACTGAAATGTGTGGAGTGTATTCAATGCTGAATCCATGGATAAGATCTAATATAATGTATACCAAACACTACTTTTTTTCTTTGAAGTTGTTTGCAGATACACAGAAGTATTCAATTTGATTTGTTCTAGTTTATGTATGTTCGGTGTACTACAGAGACTAATATTGTTGTCAGTGACCTACTGTATAAAGTTTTTTACTGACTAATGAATAGATACCAATTTCAAATATTTTGTGATACGTCTGATTGAGTTCGAGGGGGCAAAAGCAAAGTTTCTGTCGCCTAATTGTGCTGCCCAATGAATTGTCGATCTATATCAAAACCTACTCACACTTTCTGAGTTGTATTCATTTCATGACTCAATATAATGAAAACCTGTTTAAATTTTTATTACGTTTATTTGGTCATGATGATCTCCTTTTTTGCCAACTATTTCCTATTTATACCGTTGCATATTGTTTGTTATCTTCTCTAGAATGTTCATTCTATTATTGTGTAAATAATTAACCTCCCAACAGTCTTAACAGCTTCATCAATCTTGATCAATCCAAATCTTTGTTACCGTCTATCTCAACTGAAACATTCATGTCAACCTATGAAAACGAACACTGGAATCTATAGTCTGTTAAGCAGCTGATGTAAACCTACGGAATATATGCGTGCTTATTCTCTTATTATTGTTCTTCTTCCTTTATTTAACTTCGTTGAAGGAAAGAATTGTATAAGTATGGAACAGGTTGGTAAATAATATCCAACTACGTATTATTAAACGGTGATGAAGATTTGGTAATATAAGCAAAAGATAATATAAATAAACAACTACTGATACTGATTTCACAAGTGGTGTCTCTCGTGCCCCAGTGACCTAGTAGATAACATTTTACCGTTTGAAGAGATATGTCTTGGTTTCATGTCTCAGTGGAAACACCATCACTTACTGGAGTGAAAGTTACCAATGGGCTACTCGGCCCCAGAATGGCCTCCTACATCTGAGCACGGTTTGTTACTCATAATCATATAAAAGTTATGACGTGACTTTCAAAATTTGATTTTTGTGTGGTATTAAAATTTCCTACACTTTGGGTCTCGATCTTTCCCCATTCTTATTACATGTGTTGAATGTCGACTCGTTGAAAAGACTCCATAATCGACCTCTCCCTCCACCTAATGACATAAGAATCAATTTAGTTGCATTATTCCACCTTATTGTAGAGGTGTGTGTGTCAGTGTGTGCACTGAAATAGCCAAAATCTTACTAGATTATTGATATTAGTCGGGTGTCTGACTATAAAGTTTAGGTAATTCTCCCTGCTCAGAAAATCTAATCGAACTCAGTCACCTGGTATGACTTATGTATTGCCCCTCAATTGTTGCACGGTATTGAGAAGGTTAAATCATACTACCCAACTGGGTTAATCGGAACGTTAAGCTGACAAAGCGTACTTCTCATTCAACTTGTACATTTGAATGTCATCCTACTTCCAGTTTGTTCAGGATTCCATATGAAGTTGCTGATATTCCTTCCTTTCTATTTGTATCGCCATTTCAGCTCATAGGACTATTACTGCTCATTTTCTTTTGTGTTCCTATGAATTTCTTAACGAACTCTGGAAGTAAATAATAATTGATCCATAGTGTTTCCTTTAATTAGTTTTAATTCCCATTATATTTAAACACAGCACTGAACTCGCTTTAACTAATATTGAACGCGATGACCTGAAGTCTAGACACCTGTTACAGTATGTTGGTCTCGTGCAGACAATAGTGTCTAAACGCCTATATGTTCTTCATTTAAGCAGATGATACTTAGAACCACCTGAATTTCATAACAAATTCCATTTTGATCCGAAAGCAATAAAATGATCAACAGAATTCTGAAAATATTGAACATATCTGCTATTCAAACCAGTTTTAGAAATCCTTCTAAATGGTGGTTCCAGCTTCCTCAAAAGTAGAATTGCAAATCTTAAGCTATCATTGGAAGGCTGGTTTGTTATCGCGACCAACACTGTGTCCAAGGTGATTTGTCATAACTTGTATGAACAACCATTGGGTGTATATTTTGAATATAAGATTAGCAGAAAGATGACACCAGAAGTGAAGTTCGGCAGTTACAGACAACATCTTTTCATCCGTTAAAACACATATAATAAGCAGATGTCTTACAGCCTTCAGCGAAAAAGTCCTCTACTTGCGGAGTCCTGGCTGTATAATTTATGGAATGGACTAGCAAGCAATGAGTCACTGGGTCGGACACCTATCCATTCATCGAGGTTTTGGCAGCCAGTTAGTATCGTTAATCGTCGCACAATAGGTTTGATTCACTGCCTACTGGACTGATATCCACAAGACTGCTAAGTGGGTTTTCAGTTTTACATCACAACTATTTAGAAAGATGTTACTACCATTAAAACAAGATAATAAAGAATTACTAGACTATATAGGTGAATCCTGAGAGTCGTATAATTATAAATATGAGCAATCATTTCTGCTCGAAACGCCATCCAGTTAATAATACTATAATGTAGTTTGAGGTGTATGGTGAATTCATTTCTAAGGTTGTGTTTATCACGGAGTAACATCATTTGAAGAATTATTGAAGACTTGAAAGCAGTGGACACCTGTTTCCTCCTAATAATATGGGACTTCTCAGCAGTACACATCCACGATCCTGTCAAGTCAGAGGTTCAACTCAAGACCTTCAGGTTTCACAGTGAACGTGTTAACCATTCAGTCACTGAGTGGGAGTTCAAAAGTCAACAGTTTACTACTTCCTTATGTCAGTTGGTGATATAACGTGACTACTATCCAAGGTCTTCAGTTGAGTCCCGTACTAAGACGAAACAGTTATCCAGTGACCAAAATGACGTGATGCATGCAACTTTAAAAATTATACTGTATCACTGAGCTCTTTATCAAATAAGCAATCTAGTATGGAGCTTTACTCTGCTGAATTACTCAAGTGTTACTCTTATAAATCGGATGGCGTAATTAACAGTCTATATACATTTGAAACTTCTAACAACGTTGGGCTATGCATTTCAATATCATAATCAGCATCATAGTCTTTTATATATATGTAGACAAGTGGTAACGTAAAAAGGTTTTCACTACTGAAAAATAGAAGGAGCGATGCCACCTGTAGTTTCTGACCTGTCGATTTTGAATTCTTTACAAAAGTCATCTGGAAAGTTCGAACAAAGTTCTTTGTGCTAACTTGGTTAGTTGTGGCTAGCAGGAGAATCCAGGACGCGCGTTTCGTCCTATTTGGGACTCACTGGTAAGCTGGATGCACCTGCATCCCAGTGAGTGAAGTTGTTCCCACTGAGACTCGAACCTCGTACCTATCGCTTCAAACGCCATGGCGTCATCCACCATGCCACAGAGGAAAGACAACCACTTCTCTTACAACGGGTAGTAGTTATTACTATTTACTAACATACTTGTTATTCTCTGTTGTTTTGCTGGATTGAATTGTTCGACCTGTATTAGCATATGGGCTCCTAAAAGAAGTTGTGAATCGGTATTTACAGCACATATCAAAGCCATCTTGGTCGGTTAAATTTTACAACCTCATCAATCGACTTAATCTCCTCGCCTGACCTCAACACCACTCAGTCGGTGTTCTTTACCAAACATGAGTAGTACTGCGAGAACAAGGTGTGACGTCTGATATAAAAGCGTCATGATCAAGCGAAACATACTACTACTGAACAGTTTGAGTAATTAGATACCAGTCAGGCTGATCTGTAGATTTCGTCGTTTCGTATTTAGAGCAAGCCGACCCGGCTAACTGGTAAAATCTACAGATCAGTTCGAGTGGTCTCCAACTACACGAATTGCTCAGTAGCAGTAGTATGTATGTATGTATGCTTGTATGTATGTAACAAGAAAGCACCATTTGTTTACGAGAAAGTTCAATTAGGACGGCCCAATGTATGAATCTTTGGAAAACCCTTCTATAAATTATAAACTACCAATGAGAGTTGCCAATAACCGTACGTTACTGAAACAAAATGTTTCATAACTACCATTTTATTCTCAATAGCATAATGAATTTTTGAATATTACATGTTATACAGATTTATGTGTGCGCATAGACTGAAACAATGAATAGAAAAGGTTTTTATTTAAAATCTAAATAAATGCATACCTTTCTTTGTTTGTTACAAAAATAATTACAGTTTTGAATTTATCAATGTCTGCCTTCTTCAAGAACAAGTAGATAGATAGACGGAAAGACAGACAGACAGAGTGTGAGTGAGTGAGTAAACATTAGTTAAACTGACATATTATACTGATAGATAAAAGGCGATTGATTTAAAATCTCCATGTAGAATTAAATAAATTATTTTCAAATAATAACCGCCAAAAATCACATCGTTTTTCCATTATATTTACATATTTACACAACTGATCATTGGCTATAAGATTGACAATATAATTGCCTTTCTCCGACTTATACCAGCTGGGTATCATGCCAGTTCGTGCAAATGCGTACATGGCTGAATTAAGTAGATCACTGGTACGCTTGAGACGAGTCAACTCATGATCATTTTCTTGTGGTGCTAGGGACTGTAGTAAACTGGGATCAGTAAAATCATTGTGTACTTCATAAGTGCGTAAATACAGCATTGCATCCCATCCATGAAAAGCATAGGGTACAAATCCTCTTAGTGAATATGGATCAAATGATCTATGAGTTCCGGTTAAATAATACTGATAGATTGGAGAATAGGAATTGATAAATGTATTGACTAATTCAGTGAGTGGACATGTTACTCGACTATCAGTGATTAAGGACATTAGATTGGATAACAAATCTCCGTTATCATCATCATCATCGTCAATGTCATCTACACTCATAAAACCACCTAAGTATGCACAATTGAAATTGCTGAAAGTATTCGACAATAACTGTTGATAGTATTGACTATAGGGATTTAAACTACTGATTTTTAATTTGCTCAAAATATAACTTTTAAAAAAACTTTTATCCCAAAATGGGACTGTTTTTGGAGTTGGATAAACAGCGACCTCATGTGATGTTTGTCCAAAAACCATTGGTTTAATATTATTGTGAATAATTCTATTCCAAAAATCAATATTTACAAATTTATTATCATTAATTAAAATATTTATCGATTTTTCTGTTGGAAAATTATTTATATCTTGAATCATTGGGAGACTGAATATTCTTTGAATTAACCATTGTTCAACTATTGTCCAATTCCAAACATTTAAAATATCCGCTGGATTTTTCAATTTTTGACTTGAACATTGATGTGGATCTAAAGCATTTTGACAGTCTAGTAGATAATTCGTCATCTGAATTACTTCTTCAATAGATTTATTTGATAAACCTAATCCTGGAGCTGTAATCCACAATTTGTCAAACAGTTGATTACTTATTGGACTATACAATAATGCTAGTGCGCATGTTGCTCCAGATCCATAACCAAATAGTATCACATTCAGTGGATCACCGCCAAATTGACCAATATTATTACGTATCCATTTTAAAACTAATAATTGATCATGTAATCCAAGATTTGGTGTCTTTTCATGAGGATGCGGCAAAAAACCAAGTGGTCCTAGACGATAATTGAATGTAATGTGTATAGCATCCGTTTTTTGTACAGTATCCAAACTAGGTTGTTTTGGTTCATTATTGTACATAAAAAATAATCCATCTAAAATAATTATAACCGGTTTAAGGCTTTTTATTGATCGCTTATTGATTGGTATGTGTATATTTAAATATAAGCAGTTTTCATTACCAATAAATGGATTCTGTGCAGATTTTGGCAACAGTTGTAAACATGGAGACTTATATTCTTGAGTGTGATAAATTGAGTTAATTACCGTAGTATTACTTAATTGCCAGGCTTTATGACACAACTCCTTTGAGGATAATTGAACAGGAGGCTTGAAACGATTTTCACCGATTGGCGGCAAAGCATAAGGTATCCCTAGATAGCTCAAAACATGATCACCCTGCTGAACACCTTTGATTTGTCCACAGAACATAGTGACAATACCCAAATCTGAATTATTATTCCATACACCATAGTAGGATAATGCATAGACCAGAGCAACTATTGTCATTATTATCAAAGCTGTTGTTGTAATAATATTGAATAAACACGCAGTTGAAGTGGATCGTCGAAATCTGCTCATTCTTAAATTATTCACTGACGGTGAACGTGTGTATACATTTTCATTCCATCCGGTTGCCTCATCATAATTATCAGTTTCAGCCTGCATAATTTTTTACTAACTTCTAAGCAGGTTTTCTTCAGTGAGGAAAAACCTCCGTGTTTGCCACAAGAAAGTAAGCCAAAGTAATACTCATAAATCAAGACCCATATTATAAATGATAGTCCTATTCATTAGATTAAATAACCTCCAAATACACAACTGGCAAGAACGATTGAATTAACTGACGAATCAGATCAAGCTTTGAGAAGCTTAACCAATCATATTAAAGTTTAGTTAACATGTCTTTTTAATTACTCCTATGAAGTGTTCAATGGAGCTGTGTGAGTGAAATTTGGAGCGGAAAAAAACAACTAGTGAAACTGTTTAGCTGCATTTAAATAAAACTTTTGAATTTGATACAACCACTTTTATTATTTAAACCAATAAAGTATACTATTTTAGACATTGAAAACCTGCGAAGAAATAAAGTATTAAAGTGAATTTAATTCCTCTGAGTTACAAATTCCATTTAACTCTTTTCTTAATCATTTGAGGAACACTTATTCTACACTGCACCTTCTGGTGCCTACTGTTCAAAATGCTTACATCAAAAAATTTATTCACAGGTATATGAAACATACTACAAGTCTTCTTGATCAGGAAAAAAAGTCAGTAAACTACACAGGACTTCTGTTAGATAAAGTGCTTAACTTGAGAATTTGATCACTCGAAAATTTACACATTCTCGGACATGAACCTCCTTCTTATTGACACTTGTCGACAGCGTGGATGTACAAAACATTTGTGCTGCAGATAAGACAGACGATATGAAGATGTTTACTGTCCTTTTGAAGATTTGTGTCCACTGCTTCCCGTTGTTGACAAATTGTTTAGAATGATAAGTGGCGATCGATAAGCTTGGTTCACCTTGGTGACGTAGAACTACGATGAAACTTCAACCAGAAGCGAAATTTCGGAGTACTTATCAATAGCCAAACAATACACTACTGTATGACAAATATTGAAAGCAGACAGTAAAGGGACAGAAACGTTGTCTGGTCAGTTTCTTGAGAACTTATTCATGTTTGACAAAATACATTAGTGAGGAGTGATAATGTCAGTCGGGAAAGGTCAGTAAGTCTGTGCGCTTGTATCGGTTGAACTAGTCAATAAGTATATCATGAAAAACTAACCACTGTCCACTCTCGAAATATTTGAAACGATTAGTTCCCTCTATGATTTTCGACAAAATAAAAACACATACAATCAGTAGTGCAGTTAAAAATCGGATAAGTGGAAACTTAAAGCCTATGTATCCACCGAAGCTATTAGAACAGGTGAGAGTGAAGTCATATCACATTGTATTTGCCAATTTAAATGCATATGTGACTATATATACATGAGAGAGACTAATTGGTCGTAGAAAATTGAAGTTAAAGAATATATATTTCAAAGTAGCTTCAGAGAAAACAAGAATTTGCCAAAATAATAAGACGTCAATTATCAGGATTGCCTAAAGTATCCACGCTACACATTTCAAACAGTCTGATCGTACACATACTTGTCATAGGTGTTTATATGAAAGTTTATAAAAAGATGAGGGGTGAGAACGTGAAAAGAGCTCAAGTAAGTTGGCTAATTCAAAGCCAAAATAACAATGAAAATCAATGGAGTGAAAATAATACTACCTCAAACTTAGTTTCAGAGTTGAATTCAGCAAAGGGGGATCTATTTACTTTTGAAGCTACCGTGGAGGCCCTTACTCGCTTGGATCTATGAGTCCTCTCTATGTAGGTGTCGCCACACAGGCACATGAATTGGTAGATGCAGCAAGATGTAACATTATCATAAGGGTTTGGGAGAGTATACAGGTTTGGTGGTCTCTATTAATTGGACTAGCTGCACAGTAAGTCCTTGTAATAGTAGCGGTAAGTCTCTGCCAGAGGATTGCACCATAAAAGTCGTTAACAAGGTCCCACGTACATATTTACGTCTGTTTATTTCGATTGATGAAGCTTGTTATCATTTGCTGTCAACCTTAACTGGGCAAATGTTTTTCCTCTATAATACCAGTAATTCAACAAGTGTCTCAGCAGTTGGAAGCCCAGTTAGATCATCTCTCTGATAATCTTTGTCTTCAAGTAGTACTAGTTATTTGTTACTTGATAAATAATACATAAGGATACGCTACCGTGCACTAGAAAGTTTGTACATATGTAGTAGTTTGATTTTGACAGAAATAAGTTCATTCTATTGGTCAATGACACCTTTTGCTCCGAGATTTGTTTGTTCAACGTCAGATGCTTCTTTTCATGCAGATTTATGCAGTTGATTATTTGAAAAAGACACGGATCAACTAAAACTTATGTGTTGATATTTTCTTGTTTTGTAATCAAGATATAAGTACAGCAATATGAGCGAACCGAAATGTGTAGGCAATTTAGCCCCAGGGAGACAGAATAGTATCTGCACACAGTTTTTCTCTTCAGAATATTTATAAACTCTTGATATCTAAGACTTTTACAAAAACAATTTGTGGTTGAAATTCAATACTGTTTTAATACGAGGTGAATTCACATGGTTCCATGTCAGTGAATAAGATTTCACTCTCCAGCATAGAAGAAACTGGAATGCACAAAAGAAAGCTTCATTGCAACGGTTTTATGGACTTTGATATTATGGCCTCTAACTGCATGTCGTCGGTTGGATTGAACTGGCCGAAAACTATCGGCATATAAACTACTTCAAGAATGCCTTGATGTTACCAGCGGTTACGCTTTGGTATCAGAGTCAATATCCATCAAATAAGGAGTGGATATCATGACGCAGTAGCCACGTAGTTAACTCGAGGACATTTAAAGCGATTGGTTCCGAGTCCGAGTCCTATAAGGGACAAAATCATTCACTAGGGGGCAAGTGCATCCGGCTGATGAGTCATAGACTGAACGAAACGCACATCTTAGACTCCCTTAATAGTTACTAACCATCCTTATTATCAGTTTAATAAACAATTCACAGTAATCTGTCGACCTGGGCATTTGTTGCAAATAACACCTGTGAGTGGCGTGTATACACGAAATAAGAAAGTATATTGCTTCTTCTGAGGTGTGCATTGCTTTTCATCACAAAGTCCTGCAGTTACCCACGTTACTGCCAGGCGATAAGGTGCAAAAACAGCTCAGTTTAATATGCATTACTTGGATGAACCGATCATGAGACAACTACCAGTACCTTGGTAAATAAACAAAACAGTGAGTTTCAAAGTCCAACTTCCGCAAGAATTATATTAGATCGGTAGAATAAAATCCAAGCTGCAGGAGAGGATAAAAAGGGCAGAAAAAATTAAAAATAGAAAATGGCAGGTGGTTTTTGCTTGCTATAATTCAGTTTCTGGTCTTAGTTGATGGTTGGTGATAGACTCACAGACTTTGTTTTTGCTATACCAGATCTTGTTAGCAGTTAACATGAGCATAAATATACTTGTCTCTTTACTGAAGTAGGAGAATCGGTTTTCCTTTAGCATCTACACTGCAGACAAATAAATAAACAATATCGACGTCGTAAAACCTCGCAGACAAGTTCGTTAGTTCAAAGTGCCACACTTCACAGTAGTATACAAAGAACAGGTAGATAGAAAAAGACTGATGTCAAAGTTGTGTGAGATAACCAACAATTTGAAGATAACTGTTGATGCAAATATTCAGGCTTTAGGAGGTGTCAAGCAGTGAATATATTTGCGCCTCTGCAACCGATTTTCAGCCATCTCACCAAGATTCCTCAACCACTGATTCCCGTCGTTTTTAGGGGACTCCAGTCAGATTGTCGACATCTCCCGTCCTACACGATTCATACCAAAAGTCAGAGACTTTATCGACTAGTGCCGCATTTTAGTCTGACCACCATGAATCCTCTTCCAATTGAATCCGGCCTCTCGTAGTATGTTACATTGAGCAATACATGTGCAAGCTACCTTACCTATTGAACGTCCACAACCTCACCAATCGACATGGCATTTGTGTCTAGTGCCCTTCGCCTGACCTCATCATTGGTCACAAGGTGATCCCACTAAACATGAGCAATGCTACGATGACAGCTGTCATCGAAACACTGTAATCGGAAATTAAATTGCTTGGCAGAAGCTAATTAAAAAACAAAAATATAATAATTAACTGTTTTCTAGGATTAACAAACTCAAATCAAACAGTAACAATGACCGTTTTCGAACGCTGACTTATGAAATTAATTGTAAGATATATCAAAAGCTTTTAACATGGTACCGGAGAAACAGTTATGCTGGACGTTAGATGAAGTTTTTACTGTTTTGAAGTCAAGGACATCCGTACAAGTAGTCAAGGTGTTCAAACCTTCTGAATTCAACCCGCTAACTTACATGAATTAATAATAATAAGAAATGAAGTCGACGTTTTTCATATATTCAGAACAGAGTTCAATTATGAATGACTGGAGTGGTCGTTAGATTTGCGTCATTACATGTTAATTACTTTTATTCAAATTATTTGTCTGGAATTTGCAATATCTATGGCAAGAAATTATTAGGAACCATCTGATAAGGTCGATTAGAAGGTCATTGTATGTCATATCTCTATGAGTAGCCTATTCAACCATTCCCTAATCGAACTTAATTTTATGGAAATGTTACCTCGATGTTCCATCTAAATATATTTAAATTTTGCGCTTAAAATTTCATTTCCGTTGGTCCCTATAGTCCTTATAGTATTTCGTCCGATGGATACTCATGTTTTTTCCCCCGCCTAACCTTCATTTAATCCAGTAGTCCATTTGATAACACTATGGTGTTTGAAACGATGTGTGCTGGGTTCGAGTTTCCAGGAAAACAGAACCGCTCACTAGGATGTTGATATACTCAACTGATGAGTTCTAAATAGGAAGAAAGCACGTTGAATTCCACTTTTAACCAGCAGTATGCAAGTGACATCAGTCAACTGCTTTGAAATGAAACTCCCCAATAACCTATCTTGCGTCTTTGACATTTAGTCCCCTGCATTTTCCAATCAGTTTGATGACTGATGAAATATTATCCCGACTCAATTTAGTACACTTCATAATTTCACCTATGGTAAAGATGAGACTTACATACAGGCAGAATTCACTATTATACACCTCAACTTATGCATAAATAAGATTGCAGAGCTTTTGAAAATGAAAAAGAAATTTACTTCACACTGATCTCTGTATTCAGAAGAAA